CTCAATAAAAGTGGTATCCAGACGGGCCCTTAATATTTGACTTCTTGAATTTTGTATCGACATACAAAATATATTATTGAAAACCATACGGTGTATGGTATGATGCCATATGTCCTCGCATATGTTTTCGGACATTAGAGCATTGTTATAGTATACTTTAATGAAGTTTAAATTAAGCCTAATATTTGTATACTATACGAACATCAAATATAATCTCGGGCCGAATAACTGCTTTGGGATTTTTTGGCGGGTCTTTCTCGAGCTACCCTGAGCGAAAAAAGGCAGGGTAGTTATTGTTACCTATACGGTATTCGGCCCGAGATTATATTTGATGTTCGTATAGTATACAAATATTAGGCTTAATTTAAACTTCATTAAAGTATACTATAACAATGCTCTAATGTCCGAAAACATATGCGAGGACATATGGCATCATACCATACACCGTATGGTTTTCAATAATATATTTTGTATGTCGATACAAAATTCAAGAAGTCCAATACTAAGAAAGATTTCCACGAAGTTCACAAGTAAGGCATCTGTAGCTCATTGTCAATGGAGGTTTATTAGAATTTTAACCGGATATTATTCCTAATTTAGTATTGCCTTCTCGCGTTATCCGGCTGATTGGGCTCACTCGGGGGGGGGTGTTGGTTGTGTTTACAGTGTTCTCACGATCCAGTTATTTAACCGAACCGCGGGTCCTCTTCATCCGGATATCCCTTCTTTTGAGGTGTCCTCGCGTGCCGGTTTTTAATTCGGCATCTGTAGCTCAAGTGGTAGAGCGCCCGATTCGTGACCTGAAAGTCCCGAGTTCAAGTCCACCATTTCGAGACATTTTTCGTATTTTTATTTTTACTTGGAAGTACATAAATGGTCAGGCATTCCAAAATTCTTCCGAGGCATTAACGATGAGCAACTTGCTCATGGACTCATTAACTGTAAGTTGACCATATTGCCCAGGGTAGTGAAATTTAGCCCGCCTGCGGCGCTGAGGGTAGTTATTGTGCCCGCGAAGGCCCAAAAGTAGTTATTAAGCCCGGGTAGTTATTGTTACCTATACGGTAACTGCTTTGGGATTTTTTGGCGGGTCTTTCTCGAGCTACCCTGAGCGAAAAAAGGCAGGGTAGTTATTGTTACCTATACGGTACTGAAACCAGAATTACTTTACCAGTGGTACTTCGAAATTCGCCTTGTGCCGATGGGTGATTGTTTTCACGACGACGTCATTCATGATGTATAACTTCCGACGCTGCCAGCATGCGGTCCGCGGAGTAACTCGACTGGAACGGAAGGGACGCGGTGGACTCCGTAGGTGGGTGTATCTGGGACGTCGTCAAGGACGCGCTCTCAGTGTGAAGCAGCGCCAGGTCCAGTATAGCGGCGTCGGCGAGCTTGCCCGACGGTGGCGGCGCTGGACTGGACACAGTTCGACTCATTCTTCCCTCCACCTCCCATCACGTTGCGCGCGTTTATGATGGCACTGTCTGCTTTCTTGACGCACATTCAAGCACACACGACGGACGACAGCGTGCGTCGGCGGCTAGCGGGGTTTTGGCGGGCGTCGATGTCCCTGCCCGACGCAGGGGTGACGCTCGAGCTGTTGCTAGCGGCAGGATGGGCGGCGTGTATAGGGCGCAGGCCGTAAGTTGGCCGATGCGGTGGTGGACGTGGAATACGACAGGCCCGCGTTGTTGCGCGGCGCGCGCCGGCCTTGGTAGGTTCATTGCCAGCGCAATAGTTAAGATGTTAGACAAAGATGGCGAGAATAGACGGTAGAAGTAGCAGTTGAAGTAGTAGTAGGAGTAAAGATGAAAATAGACACTTCCTATTATCCCCACTACACTCCACACCTACCCGAAAATCCTCCATACTCCAAGCGAAGAAAGAGAGAATGGCAACGAAGGGAGAAAGAAGAGCGGCGACGACGAATGCAGGCGGAGACCAGGGAGCGACAACGCAAGAACCAACTGAGCATCCGACTCGTAGGGAGCCAGCGACTACCCACTTGGGGGTGGAAATTGAAGGGCAGCCATGCGCCGTACGGTTGGACACGGGGGCGGAAGAGTCTATCTTGGCTGGACGACTGGCTCACTTAGGCACCTGGATCGAGGACACGTCGAATCGCTGGCTCGAGGGCGCATCGGGGGGACTACTGCGCGTTAAGGGGTGCGTGGGGACGCCAAGTAATCGTCGAACCATTGGTGGTGGATGCGCTTTCAGAAGATCTGCTTCTCGGAAACCCTTTCTTTGACCATCACGTATGTCAAGTAGCGTATGACACCCGGAGTCCGCGCCGCCAGTCGAAACTACATCGACCACCCCGAAGTGGATTTCGCAGTTGATGGCAATGGGACCAGTACAGCAGTAACCCAGCAATGGCGCATCAGCTAATCAGAGTGTCGCACAAGTGCGAACAGCCAGAGGAAAGATAGGGAGCGACGCCACAGAAGAAGGGTGACGGGCGGTGTGCGAAGAGTTGAATTTGGGAGAGACCATCCCGCGACGAGAGAACTCGTCCGAAGGGCAAAGAAGCCATAGACACTCCGCAGTTTCGGGAGTGGGTCAAGACCGTGGCAGGACAAGTGCAGAGAGCGTTACCGCTGTATGGGGGCCGATGCTGCGACAATTGGAAGAGCGGGGAGAGAAGGCGGCCACAGAGAAGCTGTCGTCGTCTGTGGTACCTGTTGAACCGACGCGCGCGGAGCAACGCCCGGAGCAGCCAAAGGAAGTCACCTCGCAATGGCGGCGACCTCCTGTGGCCGAGGATCAGCCGCAGTTAACCGCTACCCGGATTTCCGTGGCCCAAGTGCACAGTGACAAGTTCAAGCAATGGCGAGACAAAGCCGAAACGGCTGTTCGGTCGTGGAGGCAATGTCGCGGGATTGGGAGATCGAAACTAGCAAGGGATAGAAGATGGTGCTGCCGCCCGGACTGTGGATCCAGGCACTCAACGAAGCCCATGGGTCCGTGTGGGGGGGCACGCCGGCACGCAGCATACTTTGGCTCGGCTGCAGCGAAAGTTCTGGTGGCCAGAAATGGGGAAAGTCGTCACCCAGTGGTGCCGAAGTTGTCGAGACTGCGGCACGCGGAAAATGCGCACTGCAGATATTGTCCCACCCCTTCGACCAGTGACAGTAGGAGAAGTATGTGATCGGTGGGCCTTGGATTTGCAAGGACCCTAACGTTACCCCACAACAGTCGGTGGGGGGGTATACGTGGCTGTGTTCACCGATTATGTCACGCGATATGCAGTCACGGTAGTCATGCCAAACAAGAGTGCGGAATCTGTCGTTCAGCCGCTCTGGAACCACGTCGTCTGCGTGTTTGGCCCCTGTCGGGAATTGATGTCGGATCGAGCCAGGTGAATTTATGGGAGCCGTCATGGTACAGTTTCGGGGTTTCGCCGAATGTCAAGCAGCTGCATCCAGTAGCCTACCGCCCGGCGCTCATGGGACTGGTGGAAAGGTTCAACAAGGCGGTAAAGGACATGCTCTCGACTATGGTGCAGGATATCGAAGTGGACGCGACGGCGGATGGCGACCCCTTGCCGGAGACGGAAGAGGTGGTGGAGCTTCGCCCGGTCGTGGGGACGGGACTCGAGCCGATGGAAACAACTAGATTAAGACGAAGTACGCGACAGCTGGCAGCGGCGAATCGACAAATGGAGGCTGAGAACAGCGAGCACCAAGCAGACGAGATTGGCATTCGACAGCGGAAGTAGATCCGGGGCCGCAATGGAAAAATGATCCCGATGGTCGAAGTGGAAGGACGACAAGGATGGCAGTTCATCTCACTCAAGCAATGGGAATGGGAGCAATCAAAACCAAGCAGCGTATGTGGTGCCATATCGTGAACTGTAGCCTGGGTTTTGGAGCTTTGAAAGGTTTCCCAGAGGAGGTTTTCCGGGGGAACCCGGTTTTGTCCTCAAGGTAGAAAATTAGGAGGCTGGGGGCAGCCTCAGTATGGAGGGGGGAGTAGTTAAGATGTCGGATAGAGATGGCGAGAATGGACGGTAGAAGTAGCAGTTGAAGTAGTAGTAGGAGTAAAGATGAAAATAGACACTTCCTAATAGAGACATTTAGCACGACCGGAATTTGAAATTCCTGAAACAAACTTCGGGTTACACACACCTTCGAACTTCGGCGACGTCAAATTCCGCTGGGAATTTGATTCAAATACACGAAATCTGGAGTCGATTCCGTACTGTGGTACACGAATATCCCTGAAGCCCACAGACCAATCAATGTATTGAATTTGTACATATGTTATAGCGTGCTGTATTGGCCACCTCAAGCACCTTCAACAGAGTTCAAGTTGCTTGCGATGGCCAATTCAGCACGCCGTGCGCTGTCCAAGTACATATACTGGACTGAAGACATTGAACTCGCCATTCTTCGCGAAGCAATTCGGGTGGAGCCATTTGCTGCCGATCATGGTGAGCTTTTAGCTCGTTGGACGTTGGTGGCTGCCGCCGTCGCAGAGCAGGAGCCACGAGTCACCCCACGTGCGGCCCGCGAGCACGTTTATATGTTGCTCAAGAAATTCAAGGCAGACGACCAGGCCCAGCGACTCTCCAGTGGAACTGCGGAAGAAGTGACCGAGAAAGTCCAGCTCCTCCAAGACATTGCGATGCGGATGGATGAGGTGGCGTCGTCCAGGACGATGAAGAAGACGAAGGAGACCGCGAAGCGAGACTTGCTGGAAACAACTGGCGAGAAGCTTTGCCGTGAAGCAGAAGTTCGAGTTGCAAA